GACATGCTCGAAATTGACATGGAGGACGTCGCAATCAGCCCATGCCGCCTGCCGATGCTCATCTCAGCCCAGGTAGTCGTCCTTCAGGTGATCCACGGTCTCAATGTCAGCCTCGCGGCGGGGGGGCGGCCTCGTCAACCTAGACTCAGATGAGGATGTCAAAGTTGAGCTGCGCGTTTTTCTTCGGAAGTTAGTCGCCCCGCAGTTCAAAGGGTCAGTTTGCGAATGTCGTTCTTCCCGTGCAACATGACTCTGTCAGGGCAAGCGCGGAGCCAGTTTTGCACGCCGCGCCCTTCTCCGACGCGTTCATCTCCCCCGCGAGATTGACGCGCAGACCGTGAAGGGTGAGCGTGCCAGGCGAACCATCGTCGTCGACTGGGCCGACCCGCGCGACAATCTCATCCATCAGATTCGCGCCCGAGGGCGCGAGCCGCTAGAGATTCGCAGCCGCGGCTACTTTATGTCTCTGTTGTGGCGCATCACGAGGCAGCGCCTCCTTGACGGGCGCCCGCGGCAGGAGGGCGCCCCCTGTCTCGGCGCAAACGCGCGCAAGGGCACCTTGCACTTCTCCAACGGCACTGGGGCCATTGCGTCGCACCGGTTGAGGGCGACTTGCAGGCCTTTCAGATGTCCCCCCAGGCGGCGCAGGCCACTGTCGCTCGGCCCTGTCTTCCATCGGGCGGAAACTTCGAGGGCGCCTCCGACGCCGAGACCAGTCGCAGTATGTTTACGCTCTTCATCAATTTCGCATTGTCTCTTGGAGTGAAAGGGCTCTTCTTGGGGGGCGTTCGCAGGGGGCGCGGGGCGCAGGAGCAGAGGTGCGCCGCGTTCTGGCGCCTCGCTGGCTTGAATGGCGCATTCTGTCTTCAAGAGGCGCGCGCCTCTCACGGGGACTTCGCCACTGCGCGGCGGGGCTTTCCGAGCCACCTGTGAAGAAGCGGGGGCCGGCGGCGTCGCGACCGCCCCCGTCGCCCGACTTTTCCCGGCAGCTTCGCCCCGCCAGCTGCGTTGTCGCGCGAGGAGGTCGGTGCCATATTTTCACTCTTCGCGGCTCTGCCGGCGCCCTGCACGTCTGCGATCTTCATTTTGCCCCCGTGCTTCCACGGCCAATCCGGTTGCATTTTCTGGGGCCGAGCGAGGCCCCGTGAATTTTCGTCGGCAACTTCGTCGTTTGCGCCGCTGCCGAGTTTAGGCAACCTCGCGATGGAACATCGCGTGCGAACGCGCGCAAGTTATCTATATGCATGGATGACTTAGTTCATGAGTTTGCCGAGGCAGACCAGTCCCCCACGCGCGCGAGGAGGAGGGGGCGGGGGGGGGGGGGGGGCGCATAGCATCCATGGCTCGGCAGGATCGCATCTGCGTCAACAGCCCCCCGCTGCATTTAAAGACCTCTAGCCTATGACTGGCCTCGTCGGCCATGGGGGCTCTTCGCGGCGCAGCGATCGCGCGCCAGTGTCCTGCGGGCTTGGCGAGCGAAAGCTGCCCGGGCGAATCGCCGCGCCAGCGCGGCCGCCCCGCGCGGTGGAGTTCAAGGAGGAGGTGGAAGTTGCATTGGAGGAGGTTACTCTTGAAGGAGATCTGAAAGAACATTTCGAGCAAATCAACTACATGCTCTAAGACGTTGGACTTCGGGCACGGAGGAGGAGGGGGGAACTCGGCGCCGGGACTTCCCGCGCGCCCGGAGCTAAGATGTTCGCAGTGCCCCGGGCCGTTCGAGAGCGCAAGCTGGGCGTAGTCCGTCGGTGGCCGCCCGCGCTTGTCCAGAGCTCGTCCAGCTTGCGCCCTCCGACGAGGGCGTCTGCGTCGACTGGGGCGGGCATCATCGGCGCCGCCAGATCCTCGGCCTCGGTCGAAGTCCTCTCCGACCTGCCCCCCCCCCCGATTCCAATAATGCCCGATGCAAGCGCTTCAGCCGTCTGCAGCAAGCTTGGGTCAAGGCCAGGAGGGTCGCTCCTTTTCGGTGGTCCACCGAGGGGGTGGGGGGGGGGCATTCCATCGGGAAAGAGGCGCGGCCAGCTCTGTCTACTGCGAGGTCGACAGGTCCATTCAGATTGCCCCGCCCCGCGTCGGTCGCCCGCGTGACTTTGCCCCTGGGGTGGATGGTTTGCCGCGCAGAGGCGGGGGGGCGTTTTTTGTTGTTTTGTTTTTTGTTGCGTGTGTGTGTGTGTGTGTGTGTGCGTGTGTGCGTGTGTGCGTGTGTGCGTGTGTGCGTGTGTGCGTGTGTGCGTGTGTGCGTGTGTGCGTGTGCGTGTTCGTGTGTGTGTGCGTGTGTGTGTGCGTGTGCGCGTGCGTGTGCGTGTGCGTGTGCGTGTGCGTGTGCGTGTGCGCGTGGGTGTGGGTGTGGGTGTGGGTGTGTGTGTGTGTGTGTGGGTGGGGGGGGGGGGGGGCGGGGGGGGGGACTTGCTCTGCGGCATCTATGAGCAGCTCTTTGGCCGCGGCGCACCTCCGCATTTTTTTGCCCAGGGGTGGCGGGGGCAACAAAGAGGAATGCATCTTCCGCCCCCCTGCCAACGCCCGCCCCATCTCGCCCTCTAAGTCGCGCGGCCAGATCGTTGCTGGCACCATTGCCCTTCCTCCTGCTCGGCCGGCCGCTCGCGCAGATGCTCCGCGCCAGAAATGGCCCGGTCCGGGAAAGAGCACATTCGACAGCGCCTTCGACGCAATCACCGCGCCGCCAAGGCGCGGCGCCATCTATGGGGCAAACTCCACGGGAATTTGCGTTTTGATGTCAAAGCTGCGTTTCCTAGTGTTTTTCGCTTGTGGATTTTTCGGACCCCGCGTCAAGTTCGCACCCCGGGGCAAATCGCCGGCGCAGTGCGAGCCCTGCGCCCCAGTGTCGTTGCGCAGGTCAGTTTCCGTGGGCGCCGCGAAAGCAGTTTCCAGCTGGGGCGCGGCGTCAAGCATGGGCGTCGCCTCAGCGGGGCGGTCTTCGCGGCGGCGATGGGCCCCGTCCTGCGCCGCGCGGACGACGCCCAGCCCGCGCTTGGAGTTTCGCGTGTATTTGCAGGCGATGTTGGACTGGTCAGCGTTGATATCGACGCGTGCCTTCATCTTGTCTCGCGCATCAGGGCGCATGCTGCCGGCGCGGTCGGCCTTGTCTTAGACCTCGAGGAAACAGAGTTGAACTCTCCGTTTCCCCGGCCCGACATCTTCGGCGAGCTTGCAGAAGGAAGCGTCAAAGAGAACGCGTGTCAGGTCTGTTCCAACGCCCTGTACTTGGGTGTCTGGCCTTGTCCTGGCGCGCGTGATAAAGTTCGGGATGCGCCGATTGCTGAGCGTCGCGCCCGTGGCCTCCTCATCTGAGCCCTCAGGAAGTCCCTCACTGGTGGCACTATTGCACGCAATTCCCAAGACTTTACCATGACACCACACATCGCGCAGTTGTGTCCCCCGCCCGAAGACGCCCTGGAATAAAGACAAATTGTTGTTGCGCAGTTGCTCGCGGCATCTCCGAGTTTCTCCATCCCCGCTGAGCTGCTGATGGGGCATGGAAGATCATGTTCTTTCGCGGCCGCGGTAAGGTGCTTCGACCTTGTATGCGGCGCTGCCAGATACCTAACTGCGTTTCCATTCTCGGCAGTCCATCGAGGGCGAGGGAGGTGTCACGCTGCCGCTGCCGAAAGTGACGAGTGGGCTCTCGTCCCGATCTTCGAGAGCTGGCGGTCCGACAGTACTGTGCGCCAGATGATTGGGCATTACGATAGGGTATTCAGCCCCACGGGCCCCCAAGGCTCCATGTGCTGAGTTACAGAAGAGAGCTGAGAAAGCTCTGTTGGCTCACCCTTTTTCCCAGTTCCCTGGCCAGTAGATTGCTCCCTGGAGTGAAGTACTGGCGTAACCGATGCACGGTAGGTGGTCCTGGTCAGTGAAGTTGTCAGTTTCGTTTTATCATAGATTGAAGTCGGGCGTGTCCCTCTACAGGGGGAATATTCAAACATAGTAAAAAATCGTATGGGATGTTTTGATTATCCTTTCATCATTTTGGAATATGTTTTTGTTTTTATTTTTCGTCCAAAATCCCCCTGTAGGGGGACATGCCCGATTTAACTATAGACCTGTCTGGACTGTTCGAAAACCTCGACTGGAATTTAGATGTCGAGGTCCTGGTGCTACTGGTTCGCCCTCCTGCATGGTCAGGGCTCCCCCCCCGTGTGTGTACTATGCGGCCGCGTGCTTCTCCCACAGGAGCTCCCCTCGGAGGAGGAAGATCGAGGTCGGTTCGGGGAGGGTATCCTGATGTTCTTCGAGTTTGTTGTATGTTATTGTGCATCCTGGGGGAGGGTACCTGGTGTTTTGCGGGATCGGCGGGCACCCGCTTCGAAGTTCAATGTGGAGCAGGGAGTGACCCATACCCTTTCGGGCCATGAACAAATTACGGGAGGTATGTCGCTACTTTCGGTCTCGGGTGCCCCGTATTGGGCCTCGAGCCCGTCGAATCCGGTCTTATGGAATGGGTCGAGACCTCTGGGTGTCGACGTAAAAAAAATGACGCCGCAGAGGAGGAAGAGGTACCCATACCATTGCCCTTCGCCCGTTTTCCCCTTCTTCGGCCTCCTGGGAGGCCCCTGTCGCCGCCGCCAGATTCGTTTCGAGATCCTAAATCCTAGTCGGAGCGCGCCACGGGAGAGGCCTGGGGAGTGGCGGCATCGGCTTCTTTTGGTTTATCCATCCTCCATTTTCGTGGAGCCTTCTCGGAAACCTCCGAGCCATCCTGAGGAGCCCGGCCCTTTCGGAAGAGCCTGCCGGAGCGCCGCGGCCCCGGCCACCTCGGAGGGGCCGTCCTCCTGTTCATCCACCTCCCGCTCCTCGTTCTCGTCCTCCTCCTCCTCCTCTTTCTCCTCCTCCTCCTCCTCCTCCTCCTCCTCCTCCTCCTCCTCCTCCTGCTTCGCCTCCTCACCGCTCCTTTTCCCTCCCTCGACTCCCCCCCCTCGCTCATCATCTCTCCCCCCCTCGTCCGCCCCCCAACCCCCTGGCCGCTCGTGCGCCCCGCGTTGCAGGTCCACCCCTTCAACCTGGACTGGCCGCACGACTTCTGCCCCTGCCTCGAGAACGGCCGCCCGGGCGGCCCAAAGTGTGGGGCGGCTCAGGGGAGCCCCTGCCTTTTAATTATACCCCCGATCCTCCTCCTGATCCTTCTCCCTCCCTCCCCGCCCACCCTCCCCCTCCTCCTGCTTCTTCTCCTCCTCCTCCTCCTCCTCCTCCCTCCTCTCACCATCATCATCATCATCATCATCATCATCATCATCATCATCATCATCATCATCATCATCATCATCATCATCATCATCATCATCATCATCATCATCATCATCATCGTCATCATCGTCATTATCGTCATCCTCGTCGTATCTTTCCGCGCAAGAATGGCCAGCTCACCGTGGCAGCTCGCAGCTAAAAGGGTGGTGCGCGCCTCCGCGGACGGCGGCCTCCGGGCGCGGGCACCACCGCCGCGTGCTCTCGGGGCAGGCCGATCGGCTGCACGCAGGAGTGGCCCTTCGCCTGAGGGACCTTTGCTGCGCGGCGTTCGGGCGTTGCGAAATTTTCGGGGGCCCCAAGACGGGGTGGTGAACACGCCGTGTGGTAAGCCAGTGGGGGTTCGGGGTCACCGCACGGTTTTGGTGAAGGGTTTCTCCGAAGGGCTTAGGCGGCCCGTCCTGCTCCTCCTCCTCCTCCTCCTCCTTTTCCTCCTCCTCCTCCTTTTCCTCCTCCTCCTCCTCCTCCTCCTCCTCCCCTCCTTCTCCTGCTCCTGCTCCTCCTCCTCCTCCTCCTCCTCTCCTCCTCCTCCTCCTCCTCCTCCTCCCCCTCCTCCTCCTCCTCCTCCTTCTCCTCGTCCTCCATCTCCTTCTCCCCCCCTCCCCCTCCTCCACCTCCTCCTCCTCTCAAGTTCTCGGCCCGAGAGCATTTTGCCCTCGGCCAGCCCTCGCCTCCACGTGGCACTTGAGGGACACCGAGTGGTGCAGCGTGCTGCCACACGACCGCATCCCTCGGTTGACGAAGACGGGCATTTCACACACATTACCACGAGTCCATGTCAGGGTTTGTCTCTCGCCAGTGGACCCGCTGCCGAGGCTGCGTGCAACATGAGTGGAATGATCTCCTGGAGCGAAACCATAAGCAGTGCTCACAATGTCATCGCCAGATTCGTTTCCACGTCAGTCGCTCCAAGTCCCCAGCCAGCGGCAAAGGCAAGAAGCAGGTCTGTTTCGATGATTGCAGCACCGCCCAGCAGAGCAGCGGCGGGAACCCTAAGCCCATCTTGAAGCATGACACCACCGCCGTGCAGGACAACTCGGGGGCACTCGAGCACTTGGCGAAGGCTATCAAGGTCACCACCGACCCGCTCATCAAGAGCGCCCTGCAGACAGAGTGCGCCAAGCTCGCCAGTTTGCGCCTCCAGCATGCCGCTGCCCAGGACACTGCAGCGGAGGCGGTGCGCAAGGCAGACTCGGCCTGGCGTGAGGCGGACACCAAGCACACCCAGGCGGTGAACGCGGTGGTCCGCTTGAAGGGACTCCTTCCTCACCGCAGCAGAGGAGAAAGAGAAGGCAGCCGCTCTTCTCCTGGCCAGCGCGGCGGCCACCAAGCAGGATGCGGCCCGCCGTCTCGCGCAGGCCGAATGAGTAGTGAAGGACTTCGCTGCCGCACCTCCAGGAGACTAGCCCATGTTTCATCTCTCGTGGAATGAGAACATCATCGCGGACATGGATGAGCTGGAGGCAGACGAGAAGAAAATGAGGAAAGAACATGCAGCATCTTGGGGCACAGCTGAAGGAGGCCAAGGCCAATCTCAGCCAGCGCGAGGAGCAGATCCGTACATGGCTGGATCGGGCCGCCGCCATCCGCCAGCAGATCGAAGCTAGGAAGCAGAAGAAGAGGCGATTTGATGAGGAAGGTGACCCAGCTGATGGTTCCCAGGCGGCGACCAAAGCAGAGGCACCTCCAGCTGCTGGTTCAGCCCGCCCAGCCGCGGCAGCGACCGCCACCGGCGCTGCCTCCTCATCAGCTGCCACCGGGGTCGCCAGGGACGCTGCTCACGAAGAGGCAGTGAAGGCGGAGGCGGCGAAGCTGTCGGAGGCCAAGTTCGCCGCCGCCGAGACCATGATGCAGAACCAGCCCACCCAGGCGAACATCAAAGGTCTTGCACGCGAGTCTTCCAAGGCTAAGGGCAAGGGCTTTGCTGCAGCGGACGCTGAGTGATCGACCACGGCGGGGGGCTCGGTTGGGTCTTGATCGCCGAGCTCGCCATCCAAGCCGTCATCAGCAGGTCCAGCAACATCCTTCTCCTCCCCAACATCGTCCAGAGGCGATACACGCAGTGCACCTACGGCCAACCCGACCAGCACGCAGGAGTCGGAATCGTATGATTATGGTGGGGTTCCCTGCGCGTCGCTGCTCCTTGGCAATGTCACCTGCATGAGTAAGCGCATCTGGAAGTATTTCCTCTCCCAGAAGCCGCACTTCGATATCTTCGCGATTTCGGAGACGCACGTTGGCAAGTCTGATGTGCGACGCTGGGGCCAGGACTCTCGCGCAGCAGGACTCCGCCGTTTTGCTAATCCCGCTCGGCCGCGTAGCCGCGATCGCGTCGTTGCCCCAGGGCAAGCTGAGCGAGCCAATGAAGGTGGCGAATGGGTCCTCAGCAAGGGGCACCATCAAGTTCGGAGTTTTGAAGCTTTCTGTTCCGCTCAAGTCTCTCGTGCGGGTGAAGGGCATATTCTCGACAGCATGGTGCCAGTTGTCGTTCACATGTTGGGGTGCGCGCTCATCCTGGCGCGCTTCTGCGGGCTGAGTTCCGTGGGGTTCGCAGGTCCGAACTTGCTTCGCTATCGGCGCCTGGGCGCCTTCTTGCGCAGCCTGCAGCCGCCGCGGGTCGTCATCGGGGACATCGACGTTCCAGCGGCAGCCATGCAGAAATCCGAGTTCGCGCAGCGGGTTGGCGGGCACATTCTGGCGCCTGAGTGCGCTTGCGACGCAGGTGTGAACGGCAATGTCTTGGACTGCGCCCTTCGCAGCACATCCGCCCTGGCGCGCGCGAAAGCAGCGCGGCCGATCGCCGCCGCGGCCTGGAAGGCGCGCGTAGGCATCGCGCTGGACCAACGCCAGTCTGGCAGGCAGCTCCTGTCGCGGTCTCTCGGCCTAGCCCCCCTGCTGCCGCAGCTGGCGAGGCCAGGGGAGGAGCCCGCGGAGGGCTCCGAGTCCAGCCAGGCCCGAGCGCAGAGGAACATCGCCCGTCAGGCAGCAGCCGGAAATAGGAGCGCCAAATCTAGTCAGTCGTTCAGTGAAACCTTGGATAGCCCATCACCCAATCCCACGGGTACTGGTCGCGGGTGAATCCACAGATGTTGGCGACGATTTCGAGGTTGCCTCCTTCTGTCGCGAAGAAGATCCTTGGGCGGGCGAACTCAATTCCACCTCGGCCACGCCTGAGTCTAGGGGAGATGCTAGTACTTGTCCAAGTTTGGGGCCCAGCCTTGCTACTGAGGTGGTCTCCTCAACGGCGAGACTTGAAGGCCCTGGGGGGTCTCTCGGGGCTGGGGGGGCCGGTTCGGGGGCCGCGCGCGGGGGGCTTCTTGGCTCGTCGGCGGAGGGTTGCTCAGGGCCCCCAGTGGGCTCCCTTCCCCGCCCCGATGGCGCGCCGTCGGGGGCCCTTACCGCTGCCGAGGCTGATGCGGCATCTAGATCTTCCCAGCCACCCAGCCACCGCACAGCGCGAGCCGCGCCATCCTATTTGATCCCTTCAGAGCTTTGGGAGGCCCATAAAGCTCGCGTGGGTCTCGCCAGTGCCTTCTCCTCTCCACCCTCTTACATCGCGCAGTCTGCGGTTTAGCAGGTCGACCCCGAGAGTTGCCGCCTCCTGGGCGGGATCTACTCGTCTTGGGTCGGGGCTCTGGAGGCCGCAATCCTGGAGCATCGCCACGAGGGCCCTCGCCCGAAGGCCCCCCCGCGCGATGGCCCCGGGGTTCGAGGTTCACGAGGTCAACTGACATAGCAAATATCGCGAGGCCCCGTTGAGAGACGCGATCGCGAATTGGCGGGCATGGTTGCACATCGCACTCGCCCGACTCCACACGCGCCATTCTCGTCAAAGTGGCCAGCTTCAGCGCCTGTTGCTGGAACGAGCGCGTCGTGGCCTAGCTGGCGATCGACCCGAGCAGGTCCGCGCGATCGTACGTGAAGGACTTGAAGTCAGTTGGTTTGAATGGTTGTCCGCTCTCCGCACGATCCGTTAGCTGCCAGTGGGGCGAGTCGCCTCTCTTGCCGGTCTTTCTCGTCGGCCGGCCTTGCGCAGCCAGAGAAGGGCGACTGCTCCGTCGCTCAGGGGGTTTCGTGGGTGGGCGTCGACGACACCCGCGTTGGGGATCCTCCGTCGTTCTACCCGTCAGGACCCTCTCCCTCCACTTGAAATCGTCGGTGATGGTGGCGAGGTGCTGCGCCGCCTGAAGGACGTTGTTGATTGGTAGTCACGTCGTTGGGGGACTTGGTGGGCTCCTGAGGTCTTGGATCCTGAAGCAACTCTCAGTGGCGTTCTTGCAGCCGTTCGTGACGCCGTCCGCGCTAATCCTGGACCTTTCCCCCTCCTCGAAGTTCGCCATCTACGGGTGGCTCTTTTGGGTGTGACATCTAAAACAGGATTAGGGGTCGACCGCATCTCGCCTGGGGACCTGGAGCGACTTCCTGATGTGGGGCTCCAGGGGCTCGCCGATCTTCTGAACTGCGTGGAGACCCCCGCGCCGCCCGCGCAGGTCCTCTTGGTTGCCGGGGAGCTTCTCCCGAACAATGCCTCGAGGGATCGTAGTATAGGGCTCATCGCCACGATGGGGCGGGTCTGGAACAAGGCTCGATCACCACGAGTCCAGCAATGGACTTGAGCCACCGAACCGTCCTGGGATGCCGCGGCCAAAGGGAATTCATCCCTCCAGGAAGCTTTCCGTAGGCAACTGGATGAGGAGACGGCAGCAGTGCGTAAGACCCCGTGCACTCGCAGCGCGGTTGATCCTGGACCGTGTTACGACACCATGTTCTGGCTCAAACTGGCACGTGCTGCAGTCCGTTTGGGATTTCCACCGGCGGTCCAATATCTTGAGATACGTCAATGCGCATGCCCATGTGCGCTGAACCAGTTGTCTGCCTACTCCGAACCGATCGAGGTCAGCGGGTCCATCGTTCAGGGCCCACGTGGTGGCACCAGGTATGCGCGTAGCAGGACATATTGGAGAGGCCTGACGGCCGGCGCCGCCGACCCTGATCGAAAGGGCTAGGAGCGGGGGGAGGAAGCGGAGGATGTGGAGGAGGAGGAGGGGGAGGATGAGGAGGAAAAGGAGGAGGAGCAGGAGGAGAAGGAGGAGGACGAGGAGGGGGAGGGGGAGGAGGAGGAGGAGGAGGAGAAGGAGGAGGAGGAGGAGGAAGAGGAGGAGGAGGAGGAGGAAGTGCATCCTTTGCGTGCCCGCTCGAAGAAAGAGCGCCCCGGGAGTGTGATATTCTGACTTGGGACGTGCTCCCGGAAGAGTGAGAAGTGCATCCCGGGCGTTCTCGCTCGAGGAAAATGCGCCCTAGGGGGGGGGTATTTTGATTCGGGGCCCGCTCCCGGGACGCCCTTGAGGGAGGAGGAGGAGGAGGAGGAGGAGGAGGAAGGGGAGAAGGAGGAGAGGAGCAGGAGGAGGAGGAGGAGGAGGAGGAGGAGGAGGAGGAGGAGGAAGTGCATCCCGCGCGTGCCCGCTCGAGGAAAGCGCGCCCCGGCGGGCGTCGCATCTGGCCCGCCCCCCCCCCCCCCCCCTGCGGGGAAGGGATCAAAGGGCAGGGCCCCCCCTTCGACTCCACTACGACGTCGTTTAATTTCGCTCTGGATAGCGCGCTTGAGGAGGAGAGCCCTGGGAGGGGGGGAGCGGGGGCGACGGAGACGACGGGTCGAACGGAGAAGTCCCGCACACACGCCGACAGGGTCGGCAGATCTGCATATCGAACCCGAGGCTCAGCCATCGCCCATGGCGGGGCGACCTCTCCCAGTCTACCAAAGGGCCACGGCGCCAAGTACGACTGGATTTGATACGATGTGTGAGTGAGACGGCCAATGCCCTGAAGTCACATGGTCTGCGAATTGCTAGTACATGTGTGGTCACATGCAGCCATGATTCAGATGCCGTTGCTATTGTTGCCGATTTGAGAAAGAAGGGCGTCGCCCTGCATGCTGCTCGCTAGCGTACTTACTTGGGGATTGACCTGGGAGAAGGCCGTCGGCATGCACGGTCCCAGCGCCTCACGCGAGTTGCCAAACATTTGGATCGGCATCGTCGTGTTCGTCGTTTCGCACGCGTACTCCACAGATCGCAGATCTCGGCTCGCTTGGAGACCCAAGGAGGACAGCTGGTGGGTAGCTATGGGTTTCAAATGCACGGAGGTTTTTGACAGTGCCTCACTTCGAATCGTCGAAAGATAGGTGCTACTTGTCACAACAAGACACATGGCCGCTGTCTTGCGACGTTTCTTGCAGTACGCGTTCACGGACAGGGCCCAGCCCAGAGTTTCGCGCGCGGTACTTCTCGCCTCGAGGCCCCAGCAGTGGCGTGACCACCCAGAGATCAGACTTGCAGTGCGAAGGGCTTGGTCTAGTGTGTGCGCCAAG